ATATTCTTTGAGAAACTGTGTCAAGTTTATCTCTGTAGGCCCACCACTTAGCTCAATGCCTTACACATGATAAGTACTTTGTTTAATAAACAACATCGGATCCAACTTGTAGGGGGGAAATAACGGTTCTAGGAACAGAGCTCCTATGTCTTCTCTAGAATCAAACCCTACACTTGTTTCAAGATCTGTAGCACTTGGGAGGTCAGAATCATGAAGTAGCTTAGTTTGGAGTTCTGGTCAGAGAAACCTGAATTTGAATCTCAATTTCATCACTTATTAATTGAGTACCTCTTTGTGCCTCAGTTTCCTCATATGTTTAATGACAAAAATAAGAGAATCACCTTCATAGTGATACTATAAAAATTAGATGAGGCAGTGCATGCAATGTGGTTAGCTCAATGTTTTCAGTGCTTGGCACACATGGGTAATAAACATTAGTTATCATATGGCACACATGGGTAATAAACATTAGTTATCATAATCACTATCATGAACTGAAATGATCTGAAAGCTCTATTCTTGCTGATTTGCCTATTCCTAAACACTTGTCTTGAAATCTTAAGTATTTTATTTTCTTATTAAATGCATCTCTGCCTTATATCCCCCTTCCCCTATGCCTTCCAAACAACTGCTCCACCCCAAGATGTTTGGTCTTCTAGGGGCAGGCCCCTGGCACATGGCTAACTGAGCTCTAACCACTGCCTCCTTGAGGTTCCCCATTACACATTCCACCTGTGTGCCTCTGCAGTCACCTTCATCTCTGGAGGTGCCCCCCCACCCCGATTCCAGCCTCTTCTGGGCTTCTGTCCCTCACTGTCAGTGCACGAGTCTCAGCCTTCCTTTTCTCCTCCATTGACTGCCAATATGTGCCAATATCACCAATACCTGCCCCACCCCAGCTTTTCCAGGTCCCTCTGTCTGTTCACGGAAGTGTCACAATCAACTTCCTTTCCCAGGTCTGGCCATAACATACATTTTACATTTGTGTGCACAATTTTGCCGAACAGCACTGATCAGTCTTATGACTGCACACAAGAGTGTGCTGACCCAGTTAAATTCTTTTTCTACAAGGATCCCAGACATTCTCCTTCAGTATCTGAAAGGTCTTTGATTTACCAGATGGCTGACAGTTCTAACCAAATCACACATATTAAATTACACTACAATTTGTTAGTTTCAACCAAAGCTATCTAAATGGCCAATCATTTCACCCCAGCCAGAACTCTGGAGAGAAAGCATTCCACCTCTAGTGGATGGTCATTACATATGCTATGGCTTTGGCTTTTTAGTCAAATGAATTTCCCAACCAGAAACTTCATCCCTATGCAATTCTCCACCCAGCTACAAAATAATTTGAGGAAATTAGTGGGTTTGTAACAGATGCAAATATGTGGAAATAAGGAGAATCCCATATTCTAAATTGTTTCCCAAACCACATATTGAGAAATAACCACTCTGTTTAACCTAAGGTCTTGGTCAATTGAAACAACAAATTTAGCAGAGAAGAGAGCAAGAGCGAGAGAGTGACAGCGAGAGAGCAAAAGTGAGAGAGAGAGAGAGAGAGAGAGAGAGAGAGAGAGAGAGAGAGCAAGTGAGCAGCCCCTGGGACTGATCATTCCTGGCTAAACAAATTAGCCTTAAAATAGAGCTACCATAAGTCAATTAAACAAGGCACTTACTTCCATATCATCAAATGGATGAAAAACTTTACCTGCAAGACTATTTTTCATTCATTTTTACTCTCATAGAGTTTTACTATATTGTGTAAGTTTGTCTGGATGTATAAGAAATCATTTCATATATAATGATTATGGTCTACTTATACAATTATATTTCAGAAAGAAAGACATAGTTCTAGACCCAAGGGCTTTTGTAATGTGAAATACAATCTTTTGAGTACCGAAGATACATCTCCTGCAAAACCAACAGCAGGTGATGCCTTCTATTTATTTTCTAATCAGAGAAGTCATGAGACAATAAACTACTCCATTCCAAATTAGTGGTTAGTTAATCTGATGTGGGAGAAGAGGCAAGGGCTGGAGGGAGAAAAATCTGTTTACAACATTTTGAGTGATGGTTCATTCAACAATGACAATCCCTTTCCCCCTTTCCTCTGCATTATAAAAGCAGCAGAGGTGAAATGGGACTGAATTATTCTTCTCCAACTGGCAAAGGCTTCCAGGCAGGCAATCCTCCAGAGGGAGGAAGAGCCCAGCTCTCCTAGGGCTTCAGTTTAAAGCCTGTGGGGACTGGAGTGGAGACTCACTGCACATCTGTATTCCAGCAACCCACTCCCACATGAAGCTTGGGAATCCCAAGTGCCTGTTACTAAATATAGTGCCTGCTTTTCAGACTGACAGGAGAGCTCCTGCTGTGTCCCTGGAGCTAAATCTGCTTCACACACTCCTAATATGGTAAGCCCTGCAGCCTATCAGCCTGTGAGCCTGGAGGGAGCCGGCACTGTGCAACACAGGCCCTAAGGTTAACCCTTTTGTGGAAGGCAGGATGGAAGCTAGACTGACCGCTGGTCACTGCAGATTCTCTGGTTACTACAATGACAAGTCAAGTCAACGTGATCTGAAAGCCAGGATCCAGTGCCCATTCCAAATAGCACTGTTTGTGGACAATAAGCACTAGATCAAGGATGCAGGGCAAAACAAACTGCCTACACCCCGTGGGTCACTGAAATGAAACAGGAAAAAAATAATAAAAGGAAAAGCATTCTCAGGAGGGTGGGAAAGTCAGTAGAAAACAGGACATCAGGAGGACTAACAATTGTGTGCCACCCCCTCCCACTGCCTGCCTTGTCAGCTCTGTCACGGCAGCTGCTGCCCCAGCAAAAAGGACAACAGGTGTCCATGTTGGCTTTTTACAGCAGAACCAAGCAGTGAGCAGGGAATGGCTCCTGAGGCCACTCGATATTCTTCCCGGCCTGCCTGAGAGCCCACCACCCCAAGGACTGGCCATTTGGTGTTGCAGAGTGTTTCCCAAGAGCCCAAGGTCTGTGGCTCTTGCAGGAAGAGTAAGGAAGAGCCAGCCAGGACTGGACGATAAATTATAGGGAAGCCCCTAATAATGCTAGAGAGGAGACTGAGATATTAAAAGTATCTTCCTCTTTTTCCTTGGGGAAAAAAGAAAAACCACTCATTGTAGCAGCTTCCCACTAACAGGGCTGGTGGGACTGGCAGGTTCCTTTTGGAGAGGAGGTGATGTATCATAACACAAAGTCAAGTTTTTAGCAGTCTTCATCATGCTACCTGTTGCTAGGCTTCTCGGTGTGCCATTGGCTGCCAGAATTTGGTAGGTGGGTTAGAAGTCTACAGCAGGCTAGAGAGGGTAAAGGATGCTTTTGAACAGCATAAAGTATTTATTCCTTAGGGATTGAATGTGGGAAGCCTTGGATCTAGTCTGGCTCTGCTCCTCCCTGTTTTGCGGTGATGACAGTGGCAGCAGGTGGCCAAGAGCGTGTGTGGATTTGCCTTTTGGAACGCTGCATCATAGAAACTGCTTTTCTCATTTTATTTTGTCAAGGCCAGAGTCCTCCAAGAAGCGCATTGTAGGTGATATGTAAGTTAGATATTGGTTGGGCTTTTCTGACAAAAGGCATGGACAAAACTCTGCTGGCTACCATCTCCCTCCCAGTGATAGAAAGGTTGTGTGCATGAAATGAATTTTCCGACTCACCAGCCCCACCCAGATGTGTGTCTGTTCCAACTATCACTAGCCTCTCTGAGCGGGGCCAAGAACCCCACCCTATGTGCTCAGGGTGGCTTTCAAATAGGATAGTTTGATGGGGGCCCTGCAAAGTCTCAGGCTGCAGACAGGTGGTCTTCTGCTTTGGGCCACACTCCAGGCAGCTGTGGAGGAAAGTCCCACTCCTGACACAGGTGAGACCTTTTCTGACACAGGTGAGACCTTTTCTGACACAGGCGAGACCCTCTGTACTGACTTTTTGCCTAGGTAATGAGTGAAGAGAAAAGTCACCTACTGCTTCAGCTTGGTGTCTTTTGGGTTCTCAAGCCACTGGCTGTGCTCTGCCACCTCTGTACCTGCTCCCCTCCCCTTGAGCCCCAAGTCTGGCCCTTTCAAGCCACATCTTCTAACCCCCTCTGTGCCCTCTTGGAAGGGGTGGGTGAGCAAGACCTTCTGCTGTCTTCACTGCCCTCAGACCCCAACCCTGGTTTGCTTTTTAAGCTTTCTTGTTGCATAAACTCACAAGTGATCTGCTCAGTGCCCCTTAGAACCTTTGGTTTTGATTCAGACAAAACTGTCTTAATAAATGTTTCCAGATACAAAAACCAATTTAGGTGTTTGAGGGGCAGAAACCAATAAACCTACAATTAACTCTTTCTTTCCCTTGTGATTTTTAAATGCAATAATCCTAATTCTCCTTCACCAACATGGCTCCTCTAGCTACTACAAAAAGTGTCAGAAAATGTAGAAAAAAAGGATAAAAAATAACATATAAGATCTCATCTTGTACCAACTGACATATCTATACACTCTATTACAAAGGGAATAAATGATGTCCAAGGTACAGAAAAGAAACACTAGGAGAAAATTTAGAAAGCATTACTTCATTTTAAATAAAATAGAGATGAAAAGTTCTCTATTAGAATTCATATTACTGCCCATATTTGCAACCTAAATGAGAAGAAATGGAGGAAGGTAGAGAATTCCCTTGAGTTCTTACTTCAGTGGTCACAGTTAACTTTACTAATTCACGAACAAAAGCTACAACGTAACTCCAGCCCACCTGCCCCACCCCACCCCAGTGGGGGGAGATACTTTACAGCAAAAGTTAGTTCTGCTTTGATGCTTTGCGTCTCAGTAGTGTTAGGTCCTAAGAGAAAGTGGACCATGACCCTCACATGCTCATATTCACAAATGAGTTACATTGGAAGTTAATATTAACCAATAGGATTCACTTCATTCGACAATTACGTTTTGAATTCTGCAACATGCCCTTCTCTGTTCTTGCTGAAGAAGATACTGTGGTGACCAAGACCAGTTCCCACCCTTTGGAGCTTTGAGTGGAGCAAACAGACCAAAACAAAAACAGAACAAAACTGATCATCATCAAAGCCATGAAGGAAAGGAATAGGGTGAGATGGTGGGTAAGAGAACTTGTGTGAGGGGCGCTACTTTAGTAAGTGTGGCCTGAGGAGAAAGACCTCTCTGAGAAGAGGACATTTTGAGTGAAGAGAGGCTGAGTCTTGCAAAAGCTCCAACAGAAGAACTGGTTTCAGATGTTGGAGGCACGGAAACAACCCCAAGCACGGCTTGAACCTGGTAAAACACGGGGAGAGGGAACTGAGATTGGTCAGCAAGGAGGGATCACGATAAGCCACAGAGAAGGTGAGATTTTTATTCTAATTTCAGTAGGAAAGCATGCAAGGGATGTTAGCAGGGAAAGAATGTGATCTGATTTCCAGGTGAAATGTCAGCAATTTCTAAACAGAGCTCTAACAATAACTGCGGCTTTATCTTCCAAGAGATGCCGATGCTGATCTCCAGATACCTGCTGGGTGTCTGCACATCATCTTAGCAACTCAGGAGGCTCTCACAGCATCAGCCTCTTGAAGTTCGAAAATGTCTGCATCACCAGGGACCTGGGTTGATCCACATCCCAGAATATGCCAGGTAGGAATGCTCTTTTCTTTCATCTCTGGGTCAGGGACCAGCAGGATCTTCCTCTCTGTTTATACCCAAGAAAGTAACTACCTCCTGCCACCAACCTAGATGATGAGCTACCCACCGAGTTACAGAGGACTGGGACCCTGGCCCTGATGCCGCATTCCCCACTCTAGGCTCGCACAGAGAGAGCCAGGCAGGGGAAGACAAGTCTGAGGTTCCGTGTCAGACCTCAGGCCCGGAAACAGACTGTTGCTAGTAAAACAGCCCACAAGGAACACGATTTCAGCAGCTGTGCTTTGGATGGATTCTCTTCCTTCTGCTTTTGGCTACCATGCCAGTAGGTTTTTTAGATTCTGGCATCCTTAGCACATAAATGAAAATATCCACCCTGGATTCTTACCTGATCACTTTGGGTGGGGATGGAGGTAAAAAAAAAGGAGGTCAATTATATTTAATATGGAATGGGCTGAAGAAATATTTTTGTAGTGGAGACCCTCTCTTCAAGGCTGACCACCCAAACTTTTCAGACTTACAAATAGAGATGACATGATTCCCATGCCATAGTAGGGCCTCAAGGACCTCAATAAAATATCACTTAATATTGATGAGGGTTTTTTTTTTTTATTTTTCATGCATGCCTTCCTTAGTCTCTGGCTCCAAAGAGGGTTAGTTGGAGAGACTTATGAAGGGCTGTCCAATGAGTAGGAGCCTAAATCCCAGGTCTAATTAGTAATGCTGTTCAGCTTAAGATGAGCTGACATGCCCTTTGCAGGGCTTTGCATTGGTAAAGCCCATGGATCGATAACAGTTTAAAGGTGGTTTCTCTCTGTTCACATATGCAACACAACAAAAGGAGAAGTTTTGTCTAGGAAGCACCAGAAAGATGTGTTTCTTCAAAGTGGGTGAAGGTGTAGGCAACAACCATTTTCACAGGAAACATCAGCTGATCCATTACATTTTTTAAACACAGATTTATTGGGTAGGATTGTGTGAATGTGTGCCTTTGGCGAAGTTCTCAAGGGTTGTCTTTTTTATGGCAAAAAAATTCCTCTCAGCCAAGGGCAAGGAAACTATTTCAGTCAATAAAGAAATGGCTACGGCCTGTAATGTAACCCATGAAATAATTGTAGCCAGAGCCAGCAAATGCAATCATTGCAAAGGCTTCGGCCAGCACCAGCCTGTGACAAGGGGCCCCCCAGATAGCTGTGTTTTCATCTCCACGGCTCCTACTGCAGGAAAATACCATCGGATGACTTTTAAGCCCTAAATTTCTCTATGATTTATTAGAAAGGAATGAGAAAATTATAGACAGCCCTAAAAATTGAATAGAAGAGGAAATTCTTCTCAGTTTACTTAGAAAGGAAATAATTAAATTCTTTCAAAATGATCTTTTATCTTAAAGCACAAAAAAGGGGACTTGGAGAAGGAAGAGACCAGAGCTAGGACACAAGTGGTCAGACCAAGTCTCTACAGGCCGACTGATAAAAATGGGATAGATTAAAAGCTGGGATTGAATTAGGTCACCTTAGCACTTTGATCAGGGAGACCATTGACCACATGTGACATTGTTCAATATGTGGCTGTTACAGCTGAAGGAAGGAAGGAAGAATGCATTGCTGTAGTAGCCACTGTGGACTCAGATCCAGACAAAGCACCTGATGAGCGGCGGAATGTTAGGCATGGTCATTGTGCCCAAGACACTGCATTTGCCTTCCTCAGGTTCCTCTCTCTTCCCTGTTCTGTACCCAGGGGCAAGCTGTCTGTGCTTGTGGACAGCTAGCTGCCTCCTGCTTGGGTTAGAGACCCAAGCCTGCTCGCTTAGGAATTTCTCTGCTCTGTCCCTTCACCTCTCCTTATCGCCAACAGGCAGCATCCTGCCTGGTCACTGCCTCCAGGACTCCATATCTCAGTGGGCTCTGAAAACAAATCACCTTCCCCTTGCCTTTCAGCCCTGGGAGTGATAATGACTCTTTGCTCCTGCTAATCTCTGGATGATGCTTCACTGTGCTGTTCATTCCCTTCCCTCACCCACACTGCTCCCAATAGCTGGTTCACTGCTTTCTCTTCACTTAAACCACTTGAGTGGAACTGGATTTCCTGCCAGGACACTGGCCCACACCGTCCTGAATACATGTCCATGAAAAGACTGCAACTCTATTCTAAAGCAAATGGTTGTGTTACACCATTGGTACCTCATCTGGTGTCAATGCCTTCACGTGAAAAACAATATGACATTAGTACAGAACCCAGATTCACAGTACATTTTTGTCTCTAGGCATTTTCAGCTGGAGGCTCATGGTTTTTAAATACATGTCACAGGAGTCTGGGCCAGTGCCCCAAGACAGCAGCTGGAAGATCCACATTACTGGGGACCCAGCAGGAAGGGGCAGGGTAGCAGTGGTTAGCTGCAGCAAGCTTCCCTATTGGTGTCGGGAGAGCTTATGGCTCTAAGAATAGCCTCCAATTTATAAAGGAATCGAAATATTTGATTTTCTTCCTGGGTGTGAGTAGGTGGCCAAGATGAGAAAAAAGACAGCAGAGAGAAAGAGGAGAAGAAAGCAGGTGGGGAGAGGGCGGGTGGAGGGAAGGGAAAAAATGGGAAAGAAGGGGAAGGGGAGGGAAAAAGAGAGAGCCGCTAATTCTTTCTTCAATTTTCGCCATGGCTAAATAAAGTCTCTTTTATTGAAAACTGAATGATATTACTTGCAGAATTACTGCCAAGATTTTTGTCTTGAGAGGGAGGCCAGCTTACACAGACACTGAATTTACAGCCTGGGGCTCAGAGGCCTCTCCCAGGCCCCCTCTCTAAAACACCCCTGGTCCTCCCTAATCCCCTGCCCCACGGTGTGTTCTATTTTTTCTCTTGGTATGGAACACTACCTGTCACACTCCATGACAGGACTTAGGTGTCTGTCTGTTGCTGGCCGTGCCGTCTGGCCTGTGTGTTCCACGAGGTCAGGGGTGCTGTTGTTCAGTCAGCAGGACGCAACAGAGGGTGGGCATGGAGACCAAAGGGACAAGATACATGTGGGCATCCAGCAGCCTGCAGCGGCCAGAGGAATGAGTGGCAGTGACCGAATGAACAGCTGTGATTACATTTTGTCTCAGAAAGTCTGAATTGAGGACACTTTCTAATTCAAAAACCAATCTCCAAAAATTCCTCTCTGAGAAAACCCAATTGAGGGCTTGATTCACGGCAGAGAATGTTCGTGGCAGAGAATGAAGTGTCTCTTTTCTCGTCCTTGGTGCTTATTTTCTTCCTATGAAAATAAGAGAGAAAGGACTCCAGATGGAGAGCCCCACATTGTCGGCGGATTTAGAAAAACTCCCCTGGAATTCGTATGGGTGATGCAGTTTGGTGCAGACTGACAAGTGAGTAATCTTCCATCTTATCGCTTTAATTTCAGGCTTCAGAGATGCCCAGCTCTGTTGTTCAAAGAGTTTTATTAAAAATTGGTGAGGAGAGAAAAGAAGTCTCTGAGGGCCTGTCTGATTTCATTATCTCTGACAGAGCACACAGATGGAGCAGAGCCCCAGAGGGCCAAGGAGGCTGCCCTCCGCGGCGCTGGGTGATGCGCAGGCCTCTGGAGCCGCGGATACTGAATCCAGATGTCCTCGTCTGCTGGCATCTCGCACAGATCCCTCAGACGCTCAGTGTGTAACCTGGCGTCGACTTCTCAATCATCAATCCCCAGCATTCTAGTCGGAAGATGGACACCCATAGATCCCCAAATTTTCATTTGTTTCAGTAATGTAACTTCTACTGTTGCTCCTTGCATTAGCAAAACTCTGTTCTCTAGTGGTTCTCTCTGTAAGTTCTACTCCCCTGCGGCTTTCATGGATAGCCTGAATCTAGCATTCTGCAAAGAGCGGGTGCTACCATTGAGATTGCAATCCAGACAACAGTTGAATCCTCTAAGGTCCGGACACAGACCACACAAGATCCTTAAAGGCAGGGACACACCAGATGCCACCGACTAAAATGGAAGAAGAGACTGGCTTGTATGTTCTGTAAGAAGAAGCCCTCGGTCATGTAAAGATAGCCACACAGCCAAGCAGGCTGCCTTCTCCCACACATATTTTTCTGGTTGCTAAGGGAGGTCTCCAGCCTCAAAAGTGGCCCCGATGAAAGATGCCCCGTGAAGCTTGGGGAAGGTGTGGGATGAACACAGGAAGTGAAGAGCCCCGGATGGGCCACCAGGATCCCCACTCCAGATCACTCTCCACCTCCACCATGGACTTTCTCAGCACTCGAGACAGGTTACTATCAACTGAGAGCTTTTTAAAAGTACTGGTGCCTGGGCAACCCTCCAGAACAATTAAAATAGGATCAGATTAGAATCTCTGTTGCCACCCCAAATTCTAGCAGAATGTGTAAGGTTATAAAAAGTTTGGGAAAACCTTAAGTGCAGAAAATTCAAAGTTAATGCAGAGAGTGAGTGTCTTCAGTCCCCCTCACCACCCTCTCCCTCTCAGAGGGTGGACGTGGCATTGCCTAAACCAAGGGTTCATGGCCAGAGAAGAAGGCAGAGCTAGGATGACACAGGAGTGGGAGGGCAGCCCCAGAGCTCCGTCCCAATTTCATTGCTGCCTGGGACACCCCTGCACAGTCAGCCAGGGCAGAGAGACTGTCCGGCTTACCTAAGTCCCCAAGCCACTGCCACTGATTCTTTGTCAGGGTCAAGGCCACCACCAATGATAAAAGGATTCCTCCCTCCCCATACCAATCCCTTCGACTTTATCTACAATTCTGTCCCTGCTTAACCTACTTCCCATGATCACAGGAGAAAGGAGGGTAGGTAGCTTTTTTTTTTCTGATACAGTCATTTCCAACTCCAGATGATCCAATTTAAGATTTTTCAAATTTACAATGGTGTGAAAGCAACACATATTCAGTAGTAACTGTCCTTGGGATTTGGGATTTTGTTTTTTCCCCTGGACTGCGTGATGCTCGCTCGTGGTGATGGGGGATGGGGGTAAACAACCCACACTCCACCGTTCACTGGGCTGCCAGCACTTGTTGAACGTCATGCTTTGTGTTTTCTCATCGCATTGTGTCTACAAAACACTCATTTCTATCTCCTGCTTCTGGGGAGAAGAAGAAGGCAATTATCCTTGAGAAGAAACTCAAGATAATTGCTCAACTGTAGGCTAATGTAAGTGTCCTGAGCACATTTAAGGTAGGCTATGCTGTTCAGTGAGTTAGGTGTATTAAATGCATTTTCAATTTTCAATATTCACAGTTTATAAGGGTTTATCAGGATGTAACCCCACCACAAGTCAACATAAGCATTATATAAGTCACCATAAGCAATATCACTATGTTAAGGGGCCATAGTAGACTTGATAATGTTGACCTAAAAAACGTCCAAACCTGTAACAAACTTTATAGGCTTGTGTATGAGCCAAATTAATGACAGTTGGAGGGAAGTGATATCTGAAATGCTCCAGAGAATGAAAGTGCTGCAGTTTGTTTTATGCCTTTGGAATCAGGAGTGAATTGAAGAAGATCACATGAAGGTGGGAGAAAGTAAGGTGGGGTTGGATTACAGCATGGTGAAGATTATGGGTTCTCTTGACGGCAGTTTTTCTTCCGAGGGGCCTGAAAGAGGCATTTCAAAGGTATGTTAATCTAGAGGCACAGAAACAATGGACAGGGTCTGCTTAAGCCAGGAGGAACTTTTTATCGAAGAAGTTACATACGTAGGGCATGACTACCCACCATGACCTGCCCAGTGAGGAATGGATGATCAGAGCAGCCTGTGAGGCTGCTTCCCGCAGAGCCCCTTTCCACCACAGCAACGACCCAGCTTTCCTTCACCGCACCACTGTCCCATCCGGTGGGCTTGTGCAGGGCACTCTCTGTGCAGCTGTAGACAGCGACCCTGAGGAGGCCATGACTAGACAAGCAAGCCACAAAGAAGTGCAAGTGACTGAATGAATGCACACACATGCACACACGTGTGCACACACAGCCCGTGAGCCACCATCATGAAAAGGAAAGGAAAACAGCACCACCAACAAAACCAGGAGAAGGACCCATTTTAACCTAGGCAGTGATCACACAGTTCTTTGAAAACTCTGATTTCAGTGGCTTCTTATTCAGGCCTAGAAATTATGCTTCCCTTTGAAAAAGCTGATGCAGCAGTTAAATGACACATTCAGTACTAGACTTCAGTGTTCTGTTTCACTGTAGGATAGTAACAGAGACTGGATACATGTCCCACTGTCTAATTCTCAAGTTACATAATTAGTAACTCCACACTGTGGGAAAAAAAAAAAAAAAGAGAAAGTCCTGCTACAAGACAGTGTCTCATAAGGAGTCAAAGCTGAAGTTATTCTGCAGGTTAATACATTTTTGTTTCAGTTCCAAGGCTTCTTTAACCCCAAGTTGTTATTATTTGCTTGTTTCTTTGCTTTTATCATCTTCATTATTATTATTACTATGTGATCACTGTCAAGAGAATGTTGCTCTAGCAAGTTGAAGGTTAGAGAGTAGGAGGGAGAAAGTGTGAAACTGGCATCATCTCAAAACTGTAGCAACTTGTATCTTCTGAGAAGCCCTTCAGAGAGGAGGTGTTTTCTGTCCTAATTTTCATGATGCCGCAGTGCATGCCACTCACATTTCACTCTAACCCTGCAGTGGGCAGGACAGACCAAAAAAGAGAGAAAAGACAAGTTACATCAGCCAGAAGGCACTATGTCTGTAATGGGATGCATCAACCAATTCCATTCACTTCTTTTGGTTCTTCAGTTATATAATGATTCTTTCTCATCCATGGGCTCAATATATCTTTTCCCAGAACATGTAATCTTACAGTCCACTCAATAAGGCTGTACTTTAGGTCTCTCATCTTCCTGAAAGTTTGGTTCCAGCTCACTGACCACTTCAGAAGACCCACAGGAGTCTGCTCACAATAGGTCATACTTAGGGACTGACTGACTTAGGCAGCAACTGGAGCCAGAGACTTCAACATCTTGTTTTCCTGAACAAAGAGAAGTTCCTCCTTCAGTGAAAGGCATCTCTGACAGAGCTAACCAGTGAGGTTGATCCAATGCTTTCTCAAGGGGCTTTTTATCTCCTCTCTGGAAAGCACCAAGGGGCTTTCCGCCCGTGGTAGTGTCGCGCCCTGCTTTCCTTCTCCTCCCACTCTGGACACACACATCTGCTGCCAGCCTGCCCGCTGGCGGCCGGGGTGTCCTTTAGCTTGAGCACACAGGGAAGATGAGAATAGTATCATCATCTACTGACGTGTCTTTTCAAGTTTGAGAGCCGCGTTGGCAACTGCAACCACAACAAACAGTCCACATCGAGGGCTCTCGGCTCTGCCTCAGACATGGGACTTCAGGCCAATTCAAATATTTCCGAAACACCTCTCAGAGCCAAATGCTCAGCTCCATGCACTTAAGGGGCAAACACTCAGGTTCTCATCTTGGGGAGCTGTTCTGAAATGGCCCTCCCCATTAGTGTGGATGACATAAGAAGATAACACTTCATCGATTTCCAGTTACTTCTAAGTCTAGTCCCTGAGATTTTTGGCTATGCACAAAGGTTAACACTCTGTACCAGTTATGTCACTGGGTATAGTCTGCTACTAAAGTAATTAACATTTAATAGAACCAAACAATGCACAAATTGCTTTTATATCCATTGCACCTGACATAATTGTGAGAAATGGACAAATGTAAAAATCACATGATTTTTAAGAGATTAAAATGGTCTGTCCATGCCAAGGAACAACTAGAACTCTCCCTGGGTACCCTTGAGTGAGCTGCACTTTCCAGAAGAAATTTCCAAACATCTATACTTACAATAACGTTCCTCCTAGATTTTCCAAAAACAGTTTCAATTTTTATTAATTTGTCTTCTTGATGTCATAAGTACCCTTGTACTTATAATACTGGGTGCCACGTATTTTTAGTTTATAGTCAGCATAGTTAGTGCTCACTACAACTTTTGGTGCACACCCAGGCCTCTCGAACTTAAAAGAGGTCCTGGGCCCTCCTGACTCTATTTAAAATACTATATTGGAAAAAAGCCCAGGCAGGGTTGCAAAAGTTGTGGTATGATTTCTTGGCATTGAACAATTGAACACTTTGACCTCCCCCACACAATGTAATGTAACTGTGCTACTCACGAGAAATTAATAGTTTGGTACACACCCGAACACACACACAAATATACCGTATATGGGCTGAGTTTCAATCTCACCCTTAGATCTCCTTATCTCAGCCTAGAAGTTCATTTGAAAATCATGTTGAACATCTAAATGGAAGATTCCTCATGATGTTGGTATCATAGGGGAGGAAACAATAATTTTCTGTCTATCCTTCTAAACCCTTGGCTGGGGGTCCTATAACAAAAGACAGATTAATGAGAAGAAAACAAACAGTTTACTAACATGTGTATCTCATTTGTACATGGGAGGTACCTAAGCCAGGGAAATGAGTAACTCAGGGAGGTGGTTTAGAATGTACCATTAGCCCTGGCTGGTGTGGTTCAGTGGATTGAGTGCCAGCCTGCAAACCAAAAGGTTGCAGGTTTGATTCCCAGTCAGGGCACATGCCTGGGTTACAGGCCAGGCCCTAATGTGGGGCTCATGAGAGGCAACCACACATTAATGTTTCTCTCCCTCTCTTTCTCTTTTCCTTCCCCTCTCTCTAAGAAATAAATTATACATTGGTGCCTTCTCTGTCAATTAGCCTCTTGTGAAATTATAATAGTTATTCCTCTGTCCCTGGTATACAAAGGGAGACATCCTCACACATGAAGATTTCCTTTAAAAATATAAATATCTTTTACAAAGGGGTAACTTTTTTTAAAAGATTTTATTTATTTATTTTTAGAGAGGGAAGGGAGGGTGAAAGAGAGAGAGAAACATCAATGTGCGGTTGCTGGGGGTCATGGCCTGCAACCCAGGTATGTGCTCTGACTGGGAATCAAACCTGCGATGCTTGGTTCACAGCCTGCGCTCAACCCACTGAGCTATGCCAGCCAGGGCACAAAGGGGTAACTTTCATTGTGTTTTCAGAACCTCTCT